CTCTCTCTCTCTCTCTCTCTCTCTCTCTCTCTCTCTCTCTCTCTCTCTCTCTCTCTCTCTCTCTCTCTCTCGCAAGCGAAGCCGAACACGCCGAACGCCAAAACACCGAGCGTCAAACCGAACGCGCAAAAACACTGCCGAATGTCGAAACACGTTGAAACATCGACGACCAATAACCGACAACCGAAATATATGGACAGCCTGATAGCACTCTCGGGGATCGACAGACTCGAGAAAGTTCTATCGGGCCCGCCCCTCCCCCGACAAAAAAACACCACCCCCGAACTTGGAAAGGTGGCCGCATACAAACAAAACAAAAAAAAATTGCCCCGCCGTGCCGCTCGGTTTAGGTCGGCCTCCCGTGCCGCGGTCCCACTGCCCAGTCTTCGCCTCCTCCTGATACCAGCCCGCTATCACGAATTTCGTTGGGCCCGCGACCGGGCACGTCGTCGGGCCCTTTGCTTGCTTTAGTAGTATAGAGATTAAAAACAACAGCCATGATGGAAGAGGGAGGTACAACCGATGATCCCGTCTGGAGTGCTCACAAAACCTCATTGGCGAGCGCAACAGTTTCACACAGGGACCCTCCCGATGCAGGATTCAGTATTGTTCCGAAAACCCAAGGAGCTTCGTCGCTCTGACCGAGTGTGCTAATTCTACTTCTCATGAATCTCTATGATAGGATAGGATCTTGTGAGGTACAACTTACCTTTTCCCATGGAGTTGTCACCATCCTTATTAAGTAAGAGTATCCTTGTCGAATTACTAATCCACATTCAAAAGTTTTTACTTGCAATTGGAGAGGTAGACCAACCGAGGGTATTGCTCATTCGTTGTTGCATAGGGGGTACATGTCGTTGACGCCTGAATCGAATGAGCACATGAACTGCCACTTGGGGCGTTGATCTCCCAAGTACGATAGAAAGGATAAAGAGGGGGTAATCTAATCAGGTAAGAGGATCGTTCGACATCTGATTGTTATTCTCACCGCACCCTGATTGTAGCTTGCTCGTCATCTCCACATGCATCCACTCCAACGACATGAAAGTCCTATCAAGTTTCAACAACTAACATGCTTGATACATACACACATGCAAACGAAAGCCACATTGCATTGCATTAACAGGGTCATCCTTAATACTCTCTATAGCTCATAACTCCTTAAACATATCAAACCCCAACCATTGACCAACCTCCATAAAAGACACTAAAACCCTTTGAATAACCTTTGGAAAAAAACAAGTGAAATCTTCGGGAACCACCCCTTACCCACAAGGCTAAGGTTTTAGGTTGAGATTCAAAACAAAGTGAAAATTGAGTTGCAATCCGACCTTCTATCAAACGATAACAGAACTCAATGAAGTCTAAAATGTATGAAAGAATCCGCAAGTAGCAGTGACATGTGTCACAAAATCATACGTGGTGCCACCTGTCGCTTCAACGAAGATTAACTTTGGCATCCGATCTTATGTCACTAATAACAATTATGAATTATTTAAAATTTTTGCAGCATCTTCCTTAAAAAAATATGCTCTAAAAATTTATAGTAATCAGAATTCAGAAGTTTTGATTAGTATAAGTTACTGGGCCGGGTGACCCAAACCAGACATTCACTCACTTGCTACCCACCTATTCAGGTGACCAAGGCCAAGCATTGACCCACCTGCCACCAACTCAGACCACCTTACTTAGACCCACCCTCATCTTAGCTAGACCAACTTTTCTATACCCACAACTCAGAACGGAGTCCCCATTGACATCATAGGACCTTATCAGAGTTTTGACTAAAAATCAATTTAGTAAAAATTCGTTCAACAACTTTCTTAGAAAAATAGACTCTCATAACTTATACTAAGTCTAAAGTCAGATAACCCTCCTCAGGTAAACCTAAAAAGCGTATCAGACCTACCCGACTAAAACAACCTACCTATTGAGAAAGCACTAGGGGAACTCTTAACGGACTAAACTACCAAAGCAAAGTATGCAATAAAGGACAAAACAAAATACATAAAGGTACAAAATAAGGAAAAACACTGCAAAGTCTGCTTCCAATGATACATCTCTGCTTTGTTGGGTGCAAAATCCTTTAGTACTATTTGATTAATTTCTTATTACCTTTTCAAAAATTAATACCACCTGACCTTTTAAAAACTAAATAAGCGTTTGGTTAGGGCATTATTCATAACACACTTTTAACGTACAATTTAAGGAAACCTGACACCTAGACCTGTTCCCCATCAACCTTAGTCCAGGTTTGAAGAGGTCACGCTGCTGGTGCGAATACCCTTACAAGGTATCCACCCTCATTTTTGCAAGTGAAAAAAATAAGGTTTGATTCGAGAAATTGGGTGCGCCGCGCGAGACATGCCCAACTTTTTGTTTTTGACAAATTATGTGTTAAGAGGAAGAATGGAGAGTGTGTGGGCGCCCAACTTTGAAGGCGCATGCGATCTATTCTTCTGCTTGGTAATTGTAAAACTGACACATTTGCCGACCAACTTTGTTTTTGATTAAACTAGGATTAAGTGGTCTTTTCTTTGGTCTGGTATGTTTAACGGCGGAGTGTGCGTGCGCACAAAGGCAACATTGTTATGGCTGGCGTCAGGCTTGACCATCGACGCCGCAGATTTTTTTTGAGGTGGTGAGGGTTGCATCCTCGACGAGCACTGACCTTGACCGCTGACCGTATTGCAGCCGACCAGTAGGGCCGACCGATCGGCGGTCTGTCGACCTGTCGAAAAACAACCATCCGCTGATTTTTTTTTAAATATGAGTTGGGGGTTGCTGAGTATATCCCAAATCTGACGAGGAACTTTTGGGGATGAGGGGGGTTATGGGGGGTTTGGGGTTGGAGTATAGGGGGGGTATTGGGGGGGTCTTGGGGGGTATATGGGGGGTATTGAGGGGGGTAATAAGGGTGTTGGGGGCGGTTTGGGGGKGTTGGGGAGGTGTATGGGGGTATTGGGGGCAGCTATGGGGGTGTTGGTGGTGTTATTAGGGGTTCTGGACTCCCCGAAAAAATTATTTATTTATTTTATTTTATTTTTGCGGGGTGCCAATGACCCCCGACTCGTAGGTGCCGACCAGTCAAGGGCTACCGACCGTCGGGGGGTGCAATACTGGAGGTGGCTATTTGAAATTCTATCTGATCCGTTTAACACGTGGCACGCGCAGGAGTACGACCGGTGGGCCAGGGTATGACATTGGTGTATCTTAGCAGGCTCGACCGTGGAGCCGATACCACCTATGAAGAATTTGGCATCTGGTCTACTCGTACTTGGGCGTAACCCTATCGGTTACGGTGTCAGACTATCATTAGGGAGATCAAGGATCGAGGCTTGTGACCGGCAACACAGGAGAGACGAAGCATCTTGAAGGAACCAAGGGGTTGAGGGTCTGGTGGGACCATCCACCCTTGGTTTTGTCGTCGATCCTAGCTTCGGGACCGGTTGGTGGGACGAAGGTGTGACAATAGTCCCCTTCCCCTTGGTATAGTCCCAAATCTTTATTTTTATGTTATTTATTATTATTATTATTATTAATTTATTGTTCCATTCCTTTGGGCCTCGGACCGGTGTTGGAACCGCGACCGG